TCATAGTAATATTCAGAATTGAAATACTGTRTTTTTATTCTCCTATGCATGCAGTTTAAGAAATAAACGAAGTTCCTGCAGAGCATGGTGAAAACTTATTTTCAATGCCTCACTGAAACATCCTCAATCTAAACAAATTATGGACCTCATTTTTACACAGTTTGAAAAGAATGAGGTATTCTGCCTACCACATGCATTAGAAAACACTCCAGGCAACAACAGAGCACAACAAATGTATATTTTTTGAGTTTAAAAGCTCCTAAAGCTGCTTTTGATTCACCTGTATCTCCGACACCTTCATTTGTTCAGCGAGTTGCAAACAGGAGTGAAAAGAAAAAAGAGTATCGTTGCACAGGCCACTGAGGATATCACAGTGTTTCAGGTGGCCCTGAAGGACGGCATGATGCTTCAGACTTTGCCTGAAAGGCAGGAATAGAATCAGAAATTTAATTGTCAGAAGTGATCACATAAAAGTTAATACAAATCCAGATAACCTAATTGTTCTGCTTAGGCTGTTATGCCACACAAATCAGTGTAATATCTGTGAGCGCTAAAATGACGCTGTGCTCACAAGTCCAGAAATCTAGAGAGGAGAACTAYCCTCTTGGCATTTATGACCAAAGCATGGAGAAGAGGCAGGATAAAAGCATAAGACATCACCACTTTATCCAAACATATAGAMAGAATTGTAGGTGAGACTTGTTAAAACTATTCATTCATACTACGGCAATTCAAACTTTCTTCTGACATTAATGTAAAAAAACCCCCAAACTTTCACTTTTTAATGAGAGACACTTAACCACCTTCATTTAATTCTATGCATTTGCTAAATTTCCACAGGAACTGCATTTTCTAAATTCAGCTGTATTTGAAACCTTGAACATAAAACATTGATTATTTAAAATCAGAGTCCAGCCGTACTGCAATGCCATTCAAAGGGTTCAAAGACATACTTGATTATGAACTTCCAAGTGTTCGCATGGATCGCATGGTCCATACTGGAAATGACAGAGCAGATCTCCAGGACACTGTGGATTACTGTGGAGGAAACAATGGCAAAACTCAAATTAAAGCAGATTCCTCTGAGAAAATGGCTCAGTGCAGAAACGCTGCCCATTTCCTACAAACCTGACCTACATCCCACATCTCACACAGAAAATTTCAGGAAGAAAACAGAAATATTTCAAAATGCAAAAGGGGCTGGATACGACAACAGAACTGAGCAGGCTCAAAACTCTGTCTTGAAAGTGCAAACTTGTTAAAAAAGACTGGGTAAAACTAAAAAAAAAATCTTTAGATCCATGTATATATACCTGATACCATATCTGCAATGTTATCTTCACTAGAAGCAGAGCCCAGAGAAATCATATCAAGTAGTTCCATCAGCTGTTTCTGAAGAGAATAGGTTTCCTTAAACATAGCTTGTAGGAGGTCAGAAATCAAGTGCAGATGCCCACAGTACACCGCTTCACTGTCCTGTAGGAAAGGGGGAAGTGTTGAGAAAAATAAACAAGAAAAAAAAATGACAACTGCTTCATCTGAAAATGCAAGTCTGACACTCACATGCAGTACTTACCGTAAATAACATCAGGATCCTATTCTCAACTTTTCAGTCTGCTTTGAAACTTGCACAGAAATATGGCAAGTGCACATTAACCATTTATAGCTCTGAAACTACTGTWGCTGTTGGAAGTACATAAAGGGCCTAAATTCTTAGACAAAATATTTGATTGACACTGATGCAAAATATGGAACTAATGCTGTCTGTCTTTCAGTAGCAGGTCAAATTCACTGGGCAGGGAGTTGAAAATGTGGGCACTACTCACATACTGTAAATTATTTAATAAAGCAATAATAAAAAAACCCTACAGCAATATTTTTCAAAAACAGATCTTCTTACAAAGTAGAGCTTTGTAAAAAAAAACAGATAAAACAATTTTTCCTCTGTTAAGGCAGACCTACTTTGCAGTGTGTAAAACTGTTCTTTATCACATAAAGCACAGAGGAGGGGAGGGTGCGGATGCTCTCCAGAGGCACACATGCTTGGAGCGTGCAGACGACCCGGACACAGCTGGTCAGAGTCTCCAACAGTTGTACCACAGTCTGAAAGCACAAAGGAACAACAACCATCAGTGAAGATACCAACTCTGATGATAATTTCAAAAGTAGCTTTTCTTACCTGACTTGTTCTTAGATGTTTATAGCATTAAAAGTCATCGCTTTTTCTATAAGTAATTACTGTGCTAAGGAATGAAGCTCTACAAAATATTCTGAAYATATAAACAGATGCTCTCTGAATATGGACACTCGTGTCATTTGCATTAYAGTCTAAGAGTATGAGCTGTTTTATTTTTATACTGATTAACATTACATACTAACTAATCAAATGATTCATAAAATCTTAATTAAGCAGCAAATGTAAATGAAGACCAAACTACAGTCTGACTAGCCGATTAGAAGGTGGAAAATATATTCAAAAAAAACTTTTTATTGCTTAGGTTAAAATAAAAATTAAATTAAAAAWTTTTAAAAATATTGCTCTGACAGCTTTCACAAAACTTGCCTGTAGGACATTCCTTACAGTACTGCATAATTCTGTATTCTGGCTGGTTAAACCTTTGGCCTGATTGGATAATTCATACATCAAGTTATCGAATAACTGTAGAGTCTGTCAGAACAAAACAAATGGTAAACATTTTAGTTATAAACATATGACAACAAATAACAACATCATTATGCATCTGCTTGATTTCTTGTCACGGTGTCAGGAAGAGATATGTCACAGGAGAATATAATATTTTCTAGTTTAACATCTGAAATACATAGTGTGACATGCAAAACTGAAAATCATCACTTCTCTAACTGAAGACAGATGTTACTCACTATAAGTCTTTAATAACACTTTTTTTTTTAAAGTACTTTCTCTCTGTTAGTAAAGCAAACTTCCTGGCTAATTTGCTTAAAATAACGTATCTTATTTTGCCAAAGAGTTTTTAATTTGGTTTTCACCAGATCACATTAAGATAGAATGATTTTCATCTCAGAGAAATAGGCTTTTGTTCTAAAAAAATGATCGTTAACATTTTTGATACACAAAGAAATAAAATCATATGACCATCAAATAACAATAATTTCTACTTTTGTTGAGACTCCTGGATACAAGTGCTACKGCCAGCAGTTTTTTAACACTGAATTAACAACAAAAACAACAACAACAATTTAGCTGAAATCAACATACCTTAGGTAATACTTTTGAGAAAAAAGTTTGTTCCAAATCTGCAAGGCTGATATGAGGCAAAAACATTTCAGTCAAGATCCTGAAAACACCTGCAAAGCAAAGCACTTGAAACAGTTACAGAAAAGTAACATGCAATCATCAGAATATCTAGCAACCTACCACGTAAAACAACAAAAAGCCCTRTGTCAAAAAGATAATTTTTTTGATTTTGAGAATAGCAACATAAGACTTGAGATACAAATTATCTAAAAAAAAAAACCAGTAACAATAAAGGCTCCAACATACTTTAGTACGACATGACATCCCTTTGGTGTCATTACTGGACTATATTCAGCTGAAAGCCAAGCACAATCATTTGTCCAAAATTTGTTATCTGGATGTATTGTGCATACAGGTGCACACCTAATATGCCTGCTGCTCTAATACACAACTTAACCATGAATGTTATCAAGAGTCCTAAAAAGTCACTTATCTGACCTGCTTTTCATCACTACTGGGTATTAAAAGAGCTTAGCTGCCTACAGGATAGCAGCCAGCTGTGACACTAGAATACAATAAACACAGGATGAAAGAGGCTTTTTTTTTTTTTTTCTTTTTCTCACAGAATCTACAGTTCAGAAAGATTGGTGGAAAAGAAAGAGTCTTAAATGTATGAGCTCTTCATGTTTTTTATTCAGTCTATTCAGCATGTAACTCCTGTAATGCGCAAGGTCCAGCAGGATTGTCGAAGACCAGGAACGCACGGAAGATACCAGTTTTAACACAAGTATTTTAAGCCAGTGCCAAACCTCTGAGGTGACTGTACCAGAACTCCCCTTCAGGGGAAGAGGGGATGTCTTGACCCCTACTTACGAATATGCTCRGTCCAGTCCTCAGACTCTTGATACATGGAGTAAGGATACATGTTAAGGAAACTCAAAGTTAAGTTTATTTCTATTTATTTATTGCAGAAGCCACGGGGGCTCCTCACACGCGGCCGCATGTACCCTTGTCCCACCACATGAAATCTGGGCAGTTTCTCTGGCATGACGTGGGCATATACACGTGTGTACATGCAGGATCAGGGCATTTCTGTCACGTAAAGTGGGAACAAGATGCGGGGATGAGGGGGTGGGTATGCAGTTGGACGTGATGGTTTTGAAGGACTTTTCCAATCACAATGATTTTTGAYACGTCACTTAAAAGCGCTACACGAGCTACACGGCGCTTTCTCCTCGGTGCTGCGGTGAAAAGCGGCGCTTTCTTTCCACGCGCCGCCTTCCCCGCGTGTTTTCCCCACGCGCGGGGGGCAGGGAAACGCCCCCGCCCCGCCTCCCTCCCGCCCTCCTCCCGGCGCCCTCCCCAGCGCCCCGGCGCAAGGATATAAGGAGCCGGGGCAGCACGGCGGGCAGCTGCCGGCGGCAGAGCTCCCCGTCCCAGGCGCCCAGCTCGCGCAGCAGCGGCTCGGGGCCGCTCTGCGACATGGCAGCCGCGCGGTTACCTCAGCAGCGGCGGGAAAGGCGCGCGCCGCGCTCCCGGCAGCCTCCGCGCGCGCGTGCGCAGCGGCGGGAGGAAGGGGCGGGCGGCCCCACGTGTGCGAGCGGGAAGGCGGCGGCGCCGCTAGGGCCGGGACGGGGCCGGTAGGGCCGGGMCGGGGTCGCCGCGGGGGGAACCGGCTCTGGGTCCCCTCGGCCGCGTGGGAGCGGGGCGAGCCACGGGAGAGGGGCTGGTAACCCCCGCAGGAGGGTGTCCTCTTAGAAAGATAAATGCTACGTTTAAACAGTGGTTTGGCTCGTGCGTTAGGGGCTTGAGTATTATTAAACTCGCGTTTGTTCTCCTTTCCAGAAACTATCTACCTGGTATCGGTAAAACCGATGGTATTCTGCCTGAAAAAGTTGGGTGCAACTACACAGAAACAGCTACATATATTTTTATAAAAGCAAGATTTTTTTGAATGAATACTGCTGGTACATGAGTGTTTCTGGCTGCAGTGAAACTGAGCCAGGCTATTTCTTTGCTGAAAATGTCCTTCCGATTTAACTTTTCCTTTGGAGAAGACRAAAGCAGCGCCGCAGAGGCCGCTGCGGCGCCAGAGCTGCAGCCGGGCGCTCCCCGGGAGGAGCTTGGTGCCACATGYGGGGATGCGACCCCGTCGGGGCAGCCCCGCAGCCTCAAGGCTGCCAAAGAGCACCGCGYTCCTGCAGATGCTGACCAAATACTGCAAGGTAAAACGATGGAAGTGGTGGCGGGGCTGTATTCCGTAAAGATATCCACGGTGGAAAAGCAGCTTTTGGATGGCTTGTGTGGAGAAGATGCCGTGTCTAAAAGCATTCTGGCTCACTCTGACCTCGTCCCAGGTGCGTACGAGGGAGGGCTCAAGATCTGGGAATGYACCTTTGATCTCATGGATTACTGCTCCGAGACTGAAATGCAGTTCACTGACAAGACTGTGTTGGACCTCGGTTGTGGTGCTGGACTCCTAGGAATAGTCGCCTTGAGGGGCAAAGCTAAAGAAGTCCATTTCCAGGACTACAACAGCACCGTGATCGAGGAAATAACCTTGCCTAACGCCATGGCTAACTGTAGAGTTGATGGAGATGATGGAAAAATTAGCAAGCCTCCTTCAAAGAGGCTCAAGAAAGCAAAATGCTCCCCTGATCTGCTCACCAAATGCAGGTTCTTTTCTGGAGAATGGTCCAAAGTCAGTGAGCTCCTGCTAAGCAGCAGCAAACCCTTTTCAAAGTATGATCTTATTCTTACATCCGAGACCATCTATAATCCAGATTACTATGGCACTTTACACGATGCGTTGGCTCAGCTGTTGGCTAAAAATGGACGTGTGTATCTGGCAAGCAAAGCCCATTACTTTGGGGTTGGGGGCGGTGTCCCCCTCTTTGAGAAATTCATCGAGGAGAGGAATGTGTTCAGGACTAACACGGTTAAAATAATCGATAAAGGACTGAAGCGCTTCATCATTGAAATGACCTTTAAAGTTTCCAATTAAATTCAAGCCACTTTTTCCTCAAAAAAAAAAAAAAAAAAAAAAATCTTGAGAAATGTTTTAATCTTCCCTGCCTTTCTTGTGTTGAGGTTATTCCAAATTGAGAAGTTGAGGTTATTCTGTTCCTTATATATGAATAAGGTTGTTTTGTTGAGGTTATTCTGAATTGAGAAGTCTCTTTACTAGAGACTGAACTGTTTGATTAAATTCTAATGTCTGTCTGCACATCAAGGTCTGTTTTCATTCCGCTTTTGTGTAGAGAAATGGACTACTGCTTATCCTGGTACTTCTTATGTCACTAAATTGTTAATTGTCACTTGTGTAGATACTTGAAAGAGAAGTGGTTCAAGAACCCCTGATCCTCCTCATTTTTTTGGCAYTGTCAAAAACTTAAGTTATAGAAGTGGCTGCTGAGTACAGCTTGCAAAAGGTGATTTAGTATCCCAATAGCRCAGAGAAAGAAGTTTTCAAGGCTTCTGGTGCTAACTCGGGTATGATTCAAATGCAGCACCAAACCTGAGCATTACTTGCATATTCTGCCGCCAGAGGGGGGTGTGATTGTATTTATCCCATGTAGCCCAGTGTGGTAACTCCACAAATACATAGCTTTTTCCATATAAAATGCATATGATTTATTCAAGCTTTGGGCTGGGTGTGGGTACTTGAGGCTATTTAATACTGTTAGTGAATTTTCATATCTGTATTGTCAATATAATGAAAGCTCAGTATGTTGCAGGCAGTGGGGAAGCCTTGCTGCTTTCAGAAACCAGTAAAACAGATTTCTTTGTTTTAATAACAGAGTTGATAAGATCTCAAACAAGAGAAGTTCTTTAAAGCAAACAAGAAAAATCCCACAAAACACMATGTGGGAAATGGAAGGGTGGCAACAGGGAAAGGAGATAAATTTGACTATCATAATTGAGACCTAGAGCGTTGTAGCTGTTTTTGACAAGATTGTTCTATATGGTCACTGCCTCTATGCAAATACACATTTTCAAAACTTGTGCTTTTTTTTTTTAATATTATAACCTGAGATATTACTTCTGGAGGTACTACTGAATACCACCATGGTTCTTAAGTCTCTTGTACAGTCCAGCAAGTTTTCAGAAAAGTCTGTGCAATTTATTCTTTTGTGTTCCACACTGAAAATTATGACAGTGAGGTAAGACTGTAYATTACTGCAAAAATTATAACATTTAAAAAAATGCAAGCAGAATCAAAAACTAAACAACCTTGTTGTGTGTGTTTGGTATCATAAGCAATCACTTATATTTTGTCTYATGGTCAAAATGGTCAAAAAGCTGTTTAACAAGTCTGACAGGTACATCCAAGTTACCACTTAGCAGCTCACAAAGCTTCAGTGCAGCAGTAATGCACTTGTGTACCTTTGCAGTAACATATAGTTAGTATACTGAAGCTAAGTAGTCAACCACAGCAGTAAATCTGGATATAAAAATATCTGTGGCAGAAATGACAATACCTCCATGAAGATGGAAAGAAGCTTATTACAACTGCAACTTAAATCACTGTTCCTATTGCATAAATTCCTGGCATTCTTGTCCATGAAAGTCAACAGTAAGTCCAACAGGATTTCCCGTACTTTACAGAAGAGCTTAACAACTACTGTTATTTCAAAAACAAGTTTAAGTAGGCTATTTTAAAAAGGTGTTTCACAAGTTACTGAAGTTGGGTTTTTTTTTTTCTTTTTTAATATAAAGGAGAGGGAAAAGCCAGTCAGCCTGTCTCTGGGTGTGCTCTGGAACTTATTTGCATCAACCCTGAAACACACTGATGCCTGCCACCTTACAGGATGCTGACATTTATTAACTAGAAACTGGAGAAAACAGTTTTAGCTTTGACAGATCTTTAAAGCACCAATCTCTCTCCTTTTTTTTTTTTAACTAGGAACTTGGTAGCAAAGCTGCTACCACTTACAGTCTGGAGAAAAATCACTGCTTGCCTGCTAAGCCTACCTGTTTCAGAGGGTTATGCCTGAAGTAATAAGAAATGCTGACTACCGTTATGATAGTGAATATGTAAAGAACAAGAACTTCATGTATTACTTGATAAGTATAGAAAAGGCACTTACAATCTTCTATTATACTTAATGATATTCTACTTTCAAACTCACTCATTCTCTTGAGTTTACTATTCTTTTGCTCAGCATCCTCATTTTATTCTTGGTTACTTTAAATTTGCATACAGAATCAGATTTCTTTTTGGAACTTTCAACACCTGGAAAACATGAAAAACCAATACAGTACAATTATGTTCTCAATTTTATAAAGACAATCAAGGTAGGATGTTTTTGTCCTGTGAAACTGGTAAAACTAGGACTGGGATTTCCATGACTCCAGTTGAGTTCTAGTCCATTTTTAGAAATCAGTGGATATACAAAGGAAGCATCATTCAACACTTAATTTTAAAGGCTGGTCTTTTATATTAAAGATAAGTTCTGCTCTCCCTTTCTTTCAACTCCCATTAAGACTTTCTCTGCTTGCCAAATCATCCAACCSTAGTGACTAGTTTCCTGCTTCTCTGCAGGAAGCAGGATAATGTGGAATAAAATCACTTATCTGCTTGTAATATTTACACACCTTAATTGCTTGTTCAATTATAATTTCTCCTGAATGACATCACACTAGCACAACCAGGATTGAGAGGCGCCTCAAAGTCTTTTTAATGACATGAAAATCCACTACATGAGGCCCAGTGTCTTATATGAGGAAACAAGGAAGTTAACTTAGAAATTAGCACATAAATAGTCAGCTATCCCCMCTTTTCTCCCCATCCTCTAACCCCATACTTTCTGAAAGTGTCATTACAACTCAAAATCCGGTCCAAAGCGGATCCAAATCTTTCCCGTAAGTACTGTGGAGAGAAACATTAAAGTATGTCATCAAAGTAAGTCTCAGGAAACTAAATTAAAGGGCTTGTTTATCTTAACAGGCGCTATCCTTAACTGATGACTTTCCTTCAAAGACTATTGCCACTTTTGGGAAATGAGGCCATAAAAAAATCAGTTCTGTATACTGGCACCAGCTAAATGGCATGTGTTATTTTACTAAGCATAAGGAAAAAACATCCACATGGAAATTAGGAAGCTGAGTCCCAAAGAAAGGACACAATTTGCAAATTATTGACTTGCCTGTTGTTCTTAATCACTTGGTATAGTGACATATAATCATATTCTGATATTAAAATCTTAGGAGGAAAAAATAACTGTTACTGTGGTATCAGTGTTTCAAAAATCAAAATAGAGATGACAAAATATCTGATCAGGGTAGTGAGACAGTAATGGCAATATTTTTATGATGGAATATGGACTAAAGCCACTCAAATTTCATACTCTGTACTTTAAGTCACATAAATGCTGAAAAGAAAAAAGCTAGCAGACACTGAGTCGTTTCCAAGTGAATAATTGGGATTTATAYACATATATGTCTTAAAAACTGCAAATCAAAATAATGTAAGCAAATGGAACAAAAGATACTGCCTTGAAATATGTAAGAGCATTCAGGAAAAGATTGTCCTGAAATAAGAAAATRGGAATTGTAGCAAGCAAGCAACTTCTCTGCAAATGAAGGGCAATATTCTGCCACAACAGGAGGAAGCAGGTGCAATAACTTAATTCAGACACTGCCTAGGGAAGATGAGTATGGTCCTGGAGGAGAGGATAAAACATAATGAACTTACTCATGTAGAATGAAAGAAGTCCAGAAGAATCAGAATGAAATAGATACTGTCAGAATTCAACATCATCACCTGCCAGTCTGTTTTTACTGATCCTGTTCTGTAAAAAAAAAAAAGTGCACTGTGAAATTAGGCATGATCATTATTTTTATCTAGAAGACAAACACTGACTTTTCAAAACAATGGAGTAAGTAGAAGRTTTAGATGATGAACCAAGTCAAACCTCCCTTCCTCCCTTTTTTTTGTAAACATGAATGAGAAAGATGCAAAGAGTGAACAGCAACAGAAAAAAATAAGGTCAAAAAAATAAGGAAACAATCTTAGTCTTATGGCACCTAATTTGATGGCAAAATATTGTACGATGCATCAGTCAGGATCAGATGAAAGCAGAAGGAAGATGATTAATTCCTTAATTAGAAGGCATGTCAAAAACCATCAGGAAAAAAAGGCTTAAAACAGGGTTTTTTTCCCCCACAAAGGAAGGATCTGAAAAATAAGAGATATCTGGGAATTAATAGCAGTAATGTAAATTGCAGGGTCCAGTTAATCCAGATTTATGAGAACAAACACAGAAAAGACTTTCATTTCTTTTTATTTATAGAAGTACAGCTCACAGAAAAAAAAAACTTTTTTTGAACTGCTCATCAAAGTTCAGATTACATAATTAGTCAGTTTATTTCTTGTCATCTGACCATGTAATTTCATAATCCGTATACACTTTTTTCAGTATTTCTACAGTCACTGAGTGATCTGCTTTGCCATAGCCCTGTAAGAAAGCACAAGCATTTAGTAGGTGGATACAAAACATAAATACAAATGACTATCAAGTTCTTATCAGACTGTGTAACCAGATAGTTTGCATTGACACTGCCAGTAGTTCACATACAAATCAGAAATATAGCTTCTACACAGTTATTCTTGTGGTATCAGATTTTTATTGCCCTCTCCCATTTCCCCTCCAATTSGCAGAAAATAAATAGAACAATTTCATACAATCTCAAGTAACAGGGGGAGGGGGTTTCACTTGTTACTTCTGCAGCAGAAACTTTACATTAAAATGTTGCCAGCTCCTATTACTTTTTTTCTTTCTTTCTTTTTTTTTTTTTTAAATCACAGAGATGGCACCAGTTCAGTTTAGCATATGGGYGTGCAAACATCTAATCTGGCTCAGCTGGAGGAAAAAGGAACGAGAAGCCATATGCATGAACATGTGAGAACTATTCTGGTCATCAAATAAATCACACACTTTATGCTTTACTTAGTTGCCGCCTTGCCAGTTAAAGGGAGATGGCAATCTGAAAGCCAGTGCCACTCTGAACTAAAGCAAGTTYGATTTAAGTCCTCATTTAAGTTTCAGGTGATATTTTTACTTTCAGTGAAACTTAGAAAAGTTGTGATGGAAGGTGTCTCTATCTTGTATTTCTTGCATACCTTTCATACCTTTGTTGTCTTACATAACTGAAGTTATCTTGATTTCTCATTTCAGATCCAGAGGTATCCTGGACTTTGGTTTTCATAAAACCACCAAGCTAGTGTGGTATCATGAGACTTTAGCAGAGTAAGCTTACTCGCTCCTTTCCCACTATCTAGGAGCCCTAAACAGTTTCTTCTTTCATATGATACAAGGCAGAAGAGTAATCTTGGAACAAAAATAGCCTTGATATTTAAAAATGCTTAAGGTGTTCAGCATTCAGTTTTCATGAAGTTAAGGAAAGCAAATTTGAACTAACCACGACCTTCTATAATAATTCGATAGAAATATTTTGGTTTTGACCCCGTCAGAAGCCTACAATTTGAGTACTCGCAATACTACTACAGAAGCAGCTATGCCCTGGAGATTATTCCCCAAATTACCACTTAACTGAGTCTCTTATAAAGGAACTGAACAGTAATAGGTAACAAGTTCACTTCACAAGTGAGTCAGGCAGGTTTCCAGTTACCATCTGCAATGTGATTCAAGGCACTGAAAGTCTTTGCACTATGAAAAAAACAATGAACATTATTAAAGATTCGAAGGAACACCCAAAATCCACTTACTGTGGAGAGTCCAAATACTCTGATTTTCTTGTCTTTGCTATTATGCTCAATTTTCCCTCCTCCAAGGCACYTGCACTCAAATCCCAGCTTTTCCATTTCGGGATTCACCTTCTCAAATATGTGATCTGCAAGGTGGGGAACAGCCAGAGCCATTACAACACGTGCCAGGTACCAAACACCCCAGGACTCTTGGGTTACGCTACTTCTATCACTCCCTCTCAGGCTAAAGGGAGGTTTCCAGAGGCACACGTGTGGCACCTATAATTAAGGATAATATTTAATATAATAAGGCTAATATATAATATAACGGGGARGCAGCTGGCGTACATGGGCTGATGTGCTCGCGCAACACGACAGGACACGACGCGGGGCTCTAGGCCGCCCAAAGCCGCTCGGTGTCGCCCAGGCCCCGGCGAGACGGGGGCCCGGGCTCGGTCGGGGGCTGGACTCAGGCCTTCCCTCCTCCTCCTCCTCCCGCCCCACCGGACACCCACTGTGGAACTCGGCGGCCTTGGTGCCGCGGACGATGTCGCGCCGCTCYTCGCCGCCCGGGCGCTGCAGGCGCACCAGGATGTACTTGAACGTGCCGTCGGCGTCGATGTCCACCTCGGGCACGGTGGCCATGGCGGCGGCGCCCCACGGCCGCCAGCGCGCGACCGAGCGGAGCCGCGGTGCCCACAGCCTGCCGTGACCGCCGCGCGCCGCGGGCGGGGCCGCCGCGCCGCCCGCCCATTGGCTAAGGCTGTCGCGGGGCTGCCGCCGTGCCGCGCGCCCATTGGCTGCCGCGGCCGCGGGGCGGGGCTGCTGGCGACCGTTGGTGTCGCAGCCCAACGGTCGCTCCTGAGGCGAGGTGGCGGCGGCGTCGCCGTTGGTGCCCCCGCGTCAGCCCCGGGGACGGAGCCGCCGCGGTGGCTGTGTGGGAGCAAGGGGCTCGTCCTTGGAGGGAAAAGGGGGTCGCGGAGAGGGCGAGCTTGCTCCCCACCTGCCCTGGGGAGCTCCCCGCGCCTAGTGTCTTCAAACATTGCTCCCCATCCGAGCGCTTCTTTGGGCACAAAATAGAAGTGTCTGGTATGTGAACACTTGGAATGTTTCTGCGAGAGCTGACAACACTGCACTGCATCTAAAGAGACCTTATTAAAATGCAAACACGCTAAAAGATTTTTAATTTCCAACTAAAATGGTTGTTGTTCTAGCTGACACTCTGACAGTTTTGCGTTTTTTCCCCCTCGAAAGATCAWGAACGTCACACACACACAAACATAAATACAAAAGAGCTGGAAAACAGTTTCTACATGCTGGTTTTTACATAGATAAGTAAAGTATAAGTTTAYCTCCCATTGTCTTAAGTTTTCCACTTGATGAGCCAGGCATGCTCCATATAAAGTCTTCCTGRCAGTCCGTACATCTTCAGCAAATAACTTACATTGTTTTGTTAAAAAAAAGCTAGAATATTCTTTGAACAAAAAGTTGTCACCTTGCATGGTCGATATAAGAGTATGTTCTTGCATCACACACTATTCAGAAGAGATAATGCTCAGACATTCTTTTAGCTTTACAGTATTTCAATATTTCCCTAAAACAATCAGTACAATTGCATGAAGTTTAAATATTATATACATAGTAAATAGCTGTGGTTATTAAGTTATTATTAATATATATTTCTACGATTGAAATATCTTTTAAGCATAAAAACGATGCTTGACTACACAGAGTGCAGTGACTCTGCACRTTGTATAGTCCAGTGACTAGACTGAAGTGGCACTGAAGTAGAGACAAACATGTCACTTAGATACAATCACCTAGATAGAGGTTTAACAAGTAGTATGGCTTTGGTTTTCATTTATTTTATTAATTATTGCTTTATAATTAAAAAAAAAACTTATGAATGTATTCTTAAAGCTATTGTACCCCTTAATAAAGTTCTAAAATGGACTTTTTCAAATATTACTGTAAATTACATTTTTTGGACATGGACTAGTATTATTAGTACAAGAAAAAGAAGTAAGAAAAAAAAAAAGAAATAAAATCTTCCTAAATTAAACCAAGTCCTTGAAAGAYGACGTAAAGAAGAGGAAGAAAGAGAGGAGGAAGGACTATCCGTAGAAACTCAAGCCTATCTTCCCAGCTGTTCTGGATTTGTTGAGCTAGATGAAGAAAATGATAAAAACCTGTGCCTGGAGGAGAGCTTTTTATCAGTCACAAGGGTGAGCGACTCCTATAAAAATGAAGTGGCAAAGTTTTGTGCTTGCTGTGCRGTTTGGTAATTTTCTTTGGCTAAGAAAGGCTTGGAGAGATTTGATAGTAATAGTTCCTTAAGCTTGTTGCTAAAGCTCTGACAAGTGGTAGGTTATTTGGTTTTTGTTTTCGTAAATGTATTTGTTTGTTAGGTTAGTCAAATATATGCTGTTCTAATTTTAGTCTTGTTGGTGTTTGTGGAGCTTCCTTGCTTACGCAGGTTCTCCCTTTCTGTTTTAGCCTGAACAGGATCATTTCTTCTCTAGACCATTGACCTCTATATTGTGGCCTTAACTAAAGAAAASTTGCTGCACGGTTTTGTCTTGCGTGGAAGAAGGCTAACAACACTGATGTTGGTAAGTAAGGGAGAGCATGTTTGCTCTGGAGAGGGGGATCACTGTGGTATAGTTCAGGCAAAGGCTAAAGTTTGTTGTAGTGGTTAGTATGCAACTGTGGAGCGCTTATCTGGTCTTGACCTGCTGCAAGTTGGAGCAAATGTGTGGGGCAGATAAGCCCATGGTATGATATGTCTGTTCTGTTCTTTTCTTYTACATCTTTTGTTTTCCTGCATGTCTACCATATTCAAATGTCATTTCCTTTGCCATTACAAGGGCATATGAGTTTCCTCCTGGCTTAGCCTATAAAAAAATCCCCTGCTATTTGCAGTAGTTCTTAGTAAGTCACTTTATGGCCCTTAAGGGTACAGAGAGGATGGCATGGGGTGACATAGGTCTCAGACCAGAGACAGCCTACCTTTAATAAAACTGCATGCAGGAGTTTTCTTCTTTTATGTTTTTACTCATCTAAGTGTGGCAAAGGGCCTAGTAATATTACTGAGAAATTAGGGATTCTTTGTATTTCCTATGGCAGAAACAGTTCTGCTCCATTGCGCCTTTCCCGTATTTGGCATTTTGCTTTCCCGTCTCTCTTGGATAGAGCTATATCAGAAACTGTGGGTATAGGACTCTCCTCTGCAAATGGCATTTCTAAAACCCTTGTTGTTAAAATATATATGTTATATCTTTATAGATATATAAAAATATCTCCAAAATGAGGSTCTGTGTATACAGAGTAAGGTCAATTCAAGTACCAAGATTGACTGAAAAAAGTTATTGACTGCATGTGCATGTTTATAAATGAACAAATTTCCAATTCATTTTGTTGTAAAGATCTGGTAAAGGAAGAATCCTCTGCAAGTAAAATGCTCATAGCTTCTTTCTGTTTATGCAGATCAATTCTGTATAGGTGGGAATGGAATATGTTTAGACTATAATCATAAACTTCTAATAATTAAACAGCTGTGTACAGTATTTCAGTTCCTCTCCTGGCCTGAATGTCAGGGGTCTGGCTCTGAGATTAAGTTGTTGTGACTCAAACTCAAACATTCAGCTATCTTTGTCCATATGAAATGACTCCTTTCTCTTGCATTTCCTTAGGTTTTTTTGATGTTTAGCTTAAGTTGCTAAAGAAGTGTAAAGGTTTAGAACAGTATGTTGCAAAGACAACACCGGCTTGCTTTTCTGTGTAACAAAAAAGAGGGTTTCAAGAAGCCTAGATTGAAATACAAAAAAAGTTGACCTTTGTGTCAGTTTATTAGAAAGCTTTTTATAAATATATATAATCTGTTTAAAAACTATTATGGTCTTGAGTGAAACTTCTGAGAAACTGTTAACTATTGGTAATTGTCACGTGTTGTACYCTGGGTGAAATGAGAGATGGGGAAGAGAAAATGTGGCTATATTGGTTCTTCTTGTGGAGATACTGAAGTCAGTTTAAAAAAAAAGCCAAACAAACAAAAAAAAAAACCAGATGGCACCTGGCTGCAGGAATGATCTTCTTTGGCATGTTGTTTTTAGAAAGGATATATTTGCCATGCAGATCTCAAAGGTGCTGAGGCCAGTTTGTTTTCAGGGCCTAGGCTGCTCCAGGGAACTTGCATACYTTAGAAGGAAGAAACTAGATTGTARCTCAAGATCTGCATTTGGGAAGAAATCTACTGTTTAATTCAAGAATAGGCAAAAAAGTCATGAATATTTTAATTTAAAAATGTGTTCATATATATTTGTCTTTAGTCTCTTGACAGCAAGTGACTAGGAAAGGAATATTACTACTGTACAAGTATGTAGAGCATACATTGTGCTGTGGTGGAGTTCAGGGTAGCTCATTTTGGGATTCCCTCAAGCCTCTAGGACTACTAGAATCAGGAAAAGGGAAACAATATGCTTAAATTCAGCTTGTAAATTATTCTTTTTAATGAGCCCTTTGACAACAGGGCACGAAGTGTAAGGATATGCTTGGCTTGTTGCTTTATTACAGGAAAGTATTAGGAAAGAATTTTGAAGTAGGTAATTTCCATCCCATGCAGTCTTCAAACAGAAGATGAAAAAAAATGCTTTCAGCTGTGCATAGGAAGAGTGAGAGTACCTACTTCAGCTGAGCAGAAGAACATCTAACACACTGATGTCAATGAAAAATGCTGTTTTACATTATATAAGATGAACAACAAAGCATGCAGGTCTACTTTGCTGTTTGGCCCACCCATTTTAATAGGCTTTGAATTCAGAATTTTCTTCAAGTGTTGCTTAGCTGTTACTCAGGTTAGCAACAAAGCCAACATAAGGGTAGGATAACATTATCCTCCTTGATATTTTGAAATTTTTGGATCTACATGTATATAGTCAGTCCAGAAGGAAGACTTGTTTTCTTGCACTAAAGTTAAGAATCCAAACCAGCCTCGAGAATGTGGGAGATAAGAGCTCTGAGTGTCAAGTCTTGTACTGTGCTTTCCTGTTGTATAGTGTATAGTGTTGCCATAGAATCTCTTCTATAAATTGGGGAAAATCCATAACAAATCAGTCAAGCTTTTTGCTCTGCTGCTCTTAGGCTGTTCTAGAATTTCAGTTTTCTGCTGGCTAGAAACTTCCTTCTAATTTTCAGTCTGTTTACTTGCAGATAGCCTGTATTCTGTGTGTATGTGTGGTCTTGTCATCCCTTCATATACAGAAGATTTCTGACCATATTTACTGACCTAATATCTATATAGAGCCTATTACACTTTTTCTGATCCTTTCTAGCTGGTTCTTCACCACAGCTTAAACACACAAACTTCTGATAGGCACCTAGGAAGATGCTTCCTTAGAAAGAACTTGATGATTTTCCTGTTGGACCCAATCCTTTTCAGTTCTAGAGTTTCCTATCTGGAGTTGTCCTATTCCTAGTGCTGCTTCTGTGTGACCTTAGTTATTGCCTGCCTGGCATAGGAATGCTAACCCTCCTTGCTTGGAAGGAAAGGTCTTAAATAGTACTGATTCATCACCTGCTGAGTAGCCACTTGTTTTGCAAAGTCTTCCAGGTTTGTTTGTTTGTTTATTTTTTTTCAGGGCTCTGTGCTGCCCTTCTGTTGTCCTTTCCTGTTCTCAGTATCACTGTCCTGCAGCATATGCTGGTGTATATAACAGAAGCACTGTACAAGTGTTGATTTTGCTGCCCCAGCTGTTAACTTTGTGGTCTGCAGAGATGAACAGTGTGAATGAGCTCTTTTAATCGATCAGACTCTATTTCTGTGGAATCTGTGATATCCTCAACACAAAGGCTCTTCGGATGCAGCTGCTTTTCTTCAAGTGCTTGTTCATGGAGTAGATGAATRAGTGTAGCTTGAAAGGTGAAGTTTTAACTGGAGAAATTCAGCAGGGAAACTGCAYGTCCCTCCTTATTCATGGTGGGCAGTGAAGTTTTCTTGATCAGAGAAAAAAAACATAATGAAAGGACAGGTGGGGGGATGTAGTTATGTGAAGTCGGACTTGTAGTATTCTGGCGATAGAGTGAAAGAAGAAAGATATTTTTTTCTTGTGSTGATATCTTAATATTTCCATTTGTGGAATGGTTGTGGCTATAGCAATAATTCTACCCTGAAAGTAGAGATATGACATACAGATAAAATGAATGAAGAACTGCATTCAAAAATCCTGGCATCCATTGAGTAACATATTCAGGGAATAATGCTTGATGAGCACAGGAATCTTTGTTATTTCATGTTGCACACTTATATAAACTAGCAAGAGAGTAAATGCCTTCAAAATGTCATGTACACTGTTTGTTTCAAGGGAAGATGTTTGAATCCTATCTTAGAGGATCTCTATGTGCAAACCCATAGAGCWGTTGGATAGATGGCTTAGCTTGTATCGAGTAATCAATTATGCAAAACTGTACCTAGACCTTCTTTGTCAACCAGGGAAGGGTGGAAAAGAAGGTGTGTCCTGGTATTCTGTTTTAGATTCTTTTCCTTCATTTTGCAAAATGTATTTGCTCCCGGCTGTCACTTCTCTTAATGGAGAGAGTGGCTCTCTTAGGGTCTATARCAACTACCTACCTTATTTATGTACCTAATTTAGGCAGACATAAATCTGGACACTGGTTCTGTTTCTATAGATGTATAGCTTCTCTGCTGTAGTTAATCAGTCTAAAGTTAYGGAGCTTTTTTTACTTGAAAAGAGCGCAAATGAATGGAGTCCAAACAAATTTCTATAGATGGTAAATGATTGCTGCATTTTCTGCTTACCTATGCCTATTATGAAAGTAAATTTAGCTGATGAGTGGAAAGCATTTTTTKCTTAATGACTGAAGTAAGTTGAATGTGATTTAAGTAATCAAACCATTACTGATCACAATTGCAGAAGATAAGCACATGCTTGGAGTTTAGGAGGGAATCTAATATACTATGAATGCAAAATATATATTGGAGAGAGGCAATATTTTTAGCATTTGAAAGTCTGTGTTGATTACTCTCTGAATTCAAGTGAAAAGACCTATGAAAGTGAGTAGTCTCTTTGACACCCTGTTGCCACCTCCACAAAGTGCAGCAAMTTAAGGGTAGGTGACAAACTCGCCCTTCCTGATGAATCAAGAAGTCTGGAAGGAGCGGAAGAGAAATGACTTCACTGGAAATTTGAAGCATTGTTTTCTGGCCCAGGAAATAAGGAAAGTCCTAATGATTTTGAGCTATCAAGAGCTTTCAGAAGCCTTGTGGCACTCTTTCTTGGTATTAGTATTCTCCAGACAAACTTAGTGCCATTGTTGTAAGTGCTGCAGAATTTYTGTTCTTGAAACAACTGCTATACAAATCAATTGAGCTCTACTCCACTAATTTTCTGCTAAGCATGTCTGTCCCCAAAAGCAATTATTTTTTCAAGCTGATAGAAATAAGCTTGGTTGCTCAAACTTGTGGTAGAGTGGGTAGAGTGCCCATGAAATAGTATGTAATTTTAAAACTTAATTACCTCTGTCCTTTTGTGGTCTACTGACTGATAAAACTATGATACTCTCTTGCCAGTTGTTCATGGGTCAGTTTTTCCTTTTA